ACTTTGGGATCGGTTACTTCATAACCCTGATCCAGGTGGACGAGAAGTGGGGGGGCTCAGTTCTACTTGTACAATGAGATGAGTTCTGCCAGCCTCAATTCCGTCTACTCCATCCACCCTGACATGCTGAACTTCTTCCCGGGGGGGGGTGACCCTCACCGAGGGCATCTTCTCTGCCGGCTGGGAGTGCATAAAGATCCTGTACAATGACTCCGACTCCCCCATCACCTGGTCTGACAAGGTCACCCGCAAGGTGGGCTTTGCCAAGCAGAAGATGTCCAGCATTGAGCACAACTGGAGCATCTCCGCTGAGATGTCCATTGGGGCTGGAGACCTCACCAAGTTCATCACCCAGCTCCAGTTCTCCCGCAAGGCCGAGTACGGCGGGAGAAGCGTCCGCATGGAACAGGAGGACTGGACTGAAGCCCGAGAAGAAGAGGAGTCAATCCAGGTGACCCTGGAGCCCCAAAAGAATCTGTACATCTGGCAGTACCAGCTCGGCATAGGCCAGGAGCCTGTCTTGTTCTGCAGAGACATCCAGTTCAAGAAAGAAAATAACCCACCCGACCGCATCCCTGTGTCTCTGGTCGCCTGAGCCTCTGCGAGAATGGAGGATGCCAGCACCATGATGATATTCTAGATGTGTGCATGTGAGCTTCTTTGCCCTAGTACTGCCCCTTCAGATCATTCCCCGAGCTGCCCAAAATTTCTCCCAGAATCCCCAACATTCAACTCCTGTTTTTCATCCGTTCCCAGCTTTACCCAAAGCTTGTTTGCAATGTAGATGGTTCCATTAAATGTCCTTTTCTTCCTATTATTATTATTACAGCTGGTCTGAAAATGGGGTTTGAGTTTCTTGTGCGAAATTTGGATTCTCTATTGAAAAACCAAAACAACAACAACAAAATGGACTAAAAGCTGCTGAAACCTCAGAAAATTGGACAGAAAAGAGCTGAAACCTGAAAAATTTGGCAAAAACATGCCCCAAACTGAAAAGTTCTTGGCAAAACACTGCCAAAGAAACAAAAATATATTTGCTGAAAACTGGATAATGTTTTATTTGTAGCCAAGCATTTTCATGTCTTCTGACCAAAAAAATGACCCTGTTTTCGAGGGAAGCTGACACTTGCTGGGAATATTTTCCTTTTGCAAAACAATCCAATTTTCCCTCAAAACCAATATCTCAACCAGCTTTAATGATGAGGACACATGGCCGGCCCAAACGTCTCCCCCTGCCACTTGTCCATTCTCCTTCCTCCACCTCCTTCACAGCCTTTCCCAAACCTCCTTCCAAATCTCGTCTGTAATGTCAGTGATTGAATGACATGGTCTCTCTCCAATTGTTACTGTTAGTCACAGCCCAGAATTTGCTTTGGGCTCCTTCAGTATTGAGTGTCCGGTGGAAACCAGAGGAATCCCTGCAGTGTTGTAAGTGAGAACGAGGGTCAATACCATGGATTTGCCAAGGTGCCAGAGTAGATTTGAAATCTGAAATATAGCAAACTGCATTTGCTGTCCATGTTTGAATGAAATTTAATTAGGATTACCCTGTATTATTGAGTCCAGGGAGCGTTAGTGTTCTCATTTTAATGCTTAACTCTTCGCAGGTCTATTTTCACCCTGGAAAGTACTTCTAAAGTCAACAAGGTTTATAATCATCAGCTTTACAGATCAAAGATTAGCTACACCAACTATCCTAGGAATGTACTGAACCCAAAATACACATGCAGTCTGACACTCAATGGTCATAGATAGACCAGTGTTGGGGCCCAGGACTTATACCATAGACCAATCACTTAGTTGGCTTAATGACATAGTTATACTAAAGTAAATATGTAGTGTTGACCAAGCCTATTTTATGATAATCAGATCTTCAGTCTCTCCAATGCATTTGTCACACTTTAAGTAATTCTCTGAAGCACTTTGTCTGAAGGCATCCTACTAATCTGGTCCCTGTGCTTTCTAGTGTGTGTGTGTGTTTGCGGGGGTGGGGGTGGGAAAGGCACTAGTATAAACTAGCAAAAGCAGTTGCTTTCTTTATTTTTGGTGGTTCTCTGAGGCCATTGACTTGGGCTGAAGAAGGAGAAACATGCTAATGGCATTGCTTAGTTAAAATGCAAGATACAGTTCCTCCACGATGTGCTACGAAGAGAGCAGACACAGCACGGGAACTTTCAGATACTGAGATTAAAGAAACACCAAGCGATACAACCTCCAAAAGGAAGTCTCGCCACTTCTTCTCAGCCTGGTAAGCCTGGCACAGGAGAACGTGGGACACATGGTCTGTCCAAGTGTCTGGCAGCACTTCTGGGTTCACCAGCTTCATTGGTGGCTTCAGCAAAACTCTGAGGTCCACCATGATGACCCCTGTTTATATACCCTGTGTTGGGGTTCATTGGAGGATGACAATCTTCTTATTTTCTATTAGACACTTGCTGCAGTGCTCAGATTTCTGGTCTGTTACTTTCTCTGCTGCTTCCGTCATTATTCAGTAGATGCTCATCCACATTTTCTGTCATTCTTTGCTTATCTGAGGCTCTTGGTTTTATTCATTTTTAACACTGCATTCCTGTATTAAAACAGCCTATTAATTGGGTTCCCCCTTTTTAAAGCAATTTCTTTTAATCTTTCGAAGTCACACATACGTCGGGTGCTTCTGCCTTTCAATATTCATTTCCCTTCCTGTGCTAGACAATCCCTATCAATTCCATGAGGCAACAATCAGTCTGAAAGAAAACAGACAAAATCTTGTATAGTTCTTCCAAACATAGCAGACAAGGGGCCAGCTTTTAAAAGGTATTTAGGTGCCAGAAGGAGTCGGGTGGTGCCTAGTGGGGATTTTATGGGTGTCTGCAGGACGAGAGATTCTTGGGTTGAGTCTTGCATTGACCTCCTGGAAATTGATAGGATCAAATCAGTCCCTTCAAATCCACGCTTACCACTTCTCAGTGCCCTCCTCCCAGCTTGCAAACCCAGCTCATCCGCTTCCCGTTCCCCTGCTTCTCTCCAAATCTAGTTAGCAACGCAGCTGATTTCATGTCACCTTCTTCATCTGTCTTCTCTCATTATAATCTGCAGCCTGAATTCTGCTTTGGGATCACTGAGGGGTGGAATCTGCTGCCGAAATGCAACGCATTTATCAAGCTTAAATAAAGAACTGGTTTTTCAGCATTCACCAAGTTGTTGGCATTGAATTTTTTTGTTTTCTCCTTCATCTGAGGTCTATAGAAAGGTAAAAAATGGAGGCAAAAGAAGGAAAGCAGGAGGGGGCGAGGAAGGGCCTGTGAGTTGGGGTCTCTGTGAAGACAATGGTGGGTTGTTTCCCTTTGGGGACAATGTTTTCATTGGAAATATTCAACTGGCTCCAGTGGGGAGAGATTTAGCTCCTGGGTTGAGGCTGTGATGGTTCTCGGGGTGCTCAGGCCTGTGTGTCACCTGATTACCCCCTGTCTCCGGAGAGAGGGAGCCTTGCTTGTACCAGCTGACAGTTGGCTCCCTACCACCGCCAACCCCGGATGACGGGATCCCCATGGAAATGCCAGGCTTTGGGCACCCAAATGAACGGTGTACCCCCAGTTCAGGGCTGTTTTACCTGAGCCCCCACCCCTGTGTCATGCACATCAGTTGAGTTCAATTACAGAACAGAAGGAAATGTGTTCAAGAAAGACTAGAGAGTCAAATAAGAAGCAGCGTGAGAGACAGGAACAAATGGCTGCATGTAACACGAACATCATCACACGCTTTCTAGAGACCACATTTCACTCACAACGTCTCCTCCTGGGTAGAGACGCTTATCGCACCCAACATCATCTCCAGCGTTTTCAACCAGGCCCATTTGAAATCCCTTCTTCATGACGTGAATTCGCTGTTTACTTCCCAGGTGACGGATGCCAGGGTGTCTCTCTGCCCCCCTAATATACCAGACAGACCTTTGATCTTCACCCCAGGATAGCCCCACCAGCGCTGTTGACCTCTTCTGTTAGTTTCCTTCTCAAGTCTCCGCCGGCTCTTCATTAGCAATGCAAATTCACCAATTCCAAGGGACCATTGTGATCATCTCGTGTTGACCATAACTCAGGTCAGAGAACATCCCCAAAATAATTCCTTGAGCAGATCTTTAAAAAAAAAAACCCCATCCAAACCTGATTTGGAAATTGTCTGTGATGGAGAATCCACCATGACCCTTAGTAAATTGTTCCATTAATTAATTAGTTTTAACTGCTAAACAGATACACCTTATTTACAGTCTCAATCTGTCTAGCTTTACCTTCCAGCCATCTGCTCATGTCAGACCTTTTGCTGCTCGACTGAAGAGCCCATTATCA